TCGGTAGCTCGCTTGTCGCACGATTTGGGCGCACCGGAGAGCTGGATGTTCTGGAGAAAGCCATTTCGACATTTAGTCAGGCGGTTGAACTCTCGTTGGATGATCACCCCGACAACGCCATGAGGTGGACCAACCTTGGTAGTTCGCTTCTCACACGCTTTCAGCGCCTCGGGAGGCTCGAGGATCTCGAGGAGGCTATCTTTGCCCATGCCCACGCGGTAGAGCTCACGCCGGACGGGCATTTCGACAAACTCTCGCGATTGAATAACCTCGGCGCCTCCTTCCTCGCTCGCTTCAAGCGCGTCGGAGAGCTGGATGATGTCCAGCGGGCTATTGCCGTTCATCATCACGCAATTGCATCTATACCTGAAGGACATCCTAAGAAGCCGTGGTGGTACAACAATCTCGGCGATGCATTATTTATGCGTTTTGAGCGCACAGGAGAGCTCCAGGATCTTGACCGCGCCATCGCATCCCACCGTTGCGCGATTGAGCTCACGCCGGATGATCATCCAGACAAGTCCTCACTGGTGAACTCCCTCGGCATCGCGTTATTAAGACGGTTCGAGCGTTTCGGCATTCTGCAGGACCTGGATAGTTCCATTCTCCTACGCCAGCATGCGCTGGAGCTTACGCCCGTCGACCACCCAAGCACACCCTTGCGCTTGTACGAGTTTGGCAACTCTGTCCTTACGCGCTTCGAGCGCACCGGGGAGCTTGATTTCCTTGAGCGGGCCATCTCGGCTTACCGTCACGCCATAGAGCTCACGCCGGAGGGTCACACTGATAAGCCCTCGATGTTCGATAGCCTTGGCAGATCATTGGCAGGGCGATATGGTCGCACCGGCGAGTTCGAGGACCTTGAGAGTTCTATCTCATTGCATCGTCGGGCAATTGAACTCTCACCGGACGGCCACCCGGACAAGCCCTTGCGAATCGATCACCTTGCTACATCGCTTTCCGGTCGCTTTGAACGGACTGGAGAGCTCGAAGATCTTGACGGTGCTATCGAAGCTTATCGCAGTGCACTTGAACGCACTCCTGATGGACATGCTTATAAGCCCATGCGGATGGGTAACCTTTGTGGTGGATTGTGCATGCGGTTCGAACATTACAAGGATCTCGATGATCTTGAGAGCGCCCTGTTGCTGGGGCATTCGTCTATTGACCTTATTCCAGAGGGGCATCCAGAGCTTGCAGGACGGTATAACACTCTGGCTGTATGTTATCAGCGCCGTTTTGAACTCATGGGGCATTCTGAAGACCTCGCATCTGCTGTTTCCATGTTTCAGAAGGCGATAGAGCTCACTCCCGATGGGCATCCCGGGTTGTCATTATGGTTTGCAAACCTAGCAGGGGTCTTAGGGCAGCTGTTCGTCCACTCCCAGACGCAGCTTAACTTTGATTCCGCTATTCAATCATTCATGGCTTCGATCAGGCAGCCACTCGGAACCCCTTCCATCCGCCTTCAATCTGCACGCCGCTGTCTTCATATGCTGTTGTCATATCCGGGATTCAGCTCCGTTGAGTCTCTCCAAATGACGTATTCATCCGTCATCGCTGTCCTTCCCGAGATCGTTTGGCTCGGATACAGCATACATCGCCGGTTTGACGAGTCTGAAAGTCTTGGTGTGCTTGTCACTGCAGCTGTATCCTCTGCGATAGAAGCCGGATCGTTGAATCAAGCAGTAGAGTGGTTCGAAGCGGGCAGGACACTCATCTGGTCACAACTATTGGCATTGCGCATGCCGCTCGACGAACTGCAAGAGAAACAGCCTAACCTCGCGGATTCTCTACGGAGTGTTCAACAGCAGCTTCAGCAGTCTGCACCCAACTCCTTCGTGTCAGAGTCTACCACTTTAGGTGGTATTCCCGGTGTCACGTCTAACACCGCGGCAGATCGTCACCGTCAACTTGTCATAAAGTACGACTCTATTCTGAAGGATGTTCGTAGCTGCGCAGGCTTTGAGGACTTCCTTCGGCCAAAAAGATTGCAAGCGCTGATACCTTCGCCCGAGCTTTTGGACGGGCCAGTTGTCTTTGTGAATGTACATCCGATTCGTCGTGACGCCGTTATACTCTCCCCCGATGGCAACATCACATCAATCCTACTCACCGATCTTTCGTTCGAGCGCGCGGTCGAGCTGCGCCGTCTCTGGGTGAACGATGCTATAGGTGGCAGAGCTCGTGTGCGGGGATTGGGGTCGATCGGCGATTTTGAGGGAGAGTTGAACCCGTTGAAGACCTACTTGGGACACATGTGGAATTGGATCGTCCGGCCAATCCTCGAAGCCCTGGATCTTGCCAGTCTTGTGAGGAGATTCGCCATCCAATACTGCGCTACTGTTTTTACTCACATGTACCTTTCAGGTCAAAGGCGATTGTCTACCACACATCACCTGGTGTCCTACGGGACCATTGATGCAACTTCCACTACACGCTGCGGGTCTCTACGACGAGCCTCATGGCCCGCGGGTGTTCGACTTTGTCGTATCCTCCTACACTCCCTCCCTTTCGGCGCTTCTGCGTGGATATAGAAGGACTGAAGAGCCACATGCAATGCGCGACGTGCTCATCGTGACACAACCAGATACTCCCAACCATATGCCTCTTCCCGGGACCGTACACGAGGGCATTCGCTTAAAGAGCACCCTCGACGCATCGGGTATCACGAGCAAGTGGCTCGACGATGAAGTCGCAACTGTCAAGGAAGTGCTCAAGATCATGAATCGGTATCCCTGGGTGCATCTAGCCTGCCACGGCTCGCAGAACCAACAGGACGCAACTCGAAGCGCCTTCGAGCTCTTTGATGGTCCGCTCACGCTCTCCGATCTCATGGGTAGTACCGCGGCGGAGAACGCCGAGCTCGCTTTCCTCTCCGCATGTCAAACGGCTGTCGGTGATGAGAAGACCCCGGAGGAGTCTGCACATCTTGCGGCTGGCATGCTCGCCGTTGGCTTTAAAGGAGTCATCGCGACGATGTGGTCGATCCAGGACGCAGACGCCCCGATTGTGGTCGACGCATTCTATAAGGAGATGTTGGTCTTGCGCAGTGCAGGAACATTTGGAAAGGGCTCGACTGGTGCGGCGTACGCGCTTCACGAGGCGACGAGGGTCTTGCGGGAGGAGCTCGGTGAGAATAGCTTCCTGAGGTGGGTGCCGTTCGTGCATTTTGGTGTATGAGTGTACGTTGCCCATGAAATGTATCCAGATTCGATAAAGAAATGCGGGTATATACTAGCGTAATTAGATACTTGTCCATGATTGTAATCCTATGATACCAATGCACACAACACAAAGCAGAATGGACGATACAGCATGTCACTCATTAAGCATCCCTGGGCGACATCTCGCCCGAGCTAAACCTCGGCGATGCGACCTCTACCTCCGCCTCCGAATCGAACGCGCCTTCGCCCTCGACCTCAAGCCTAACAATCACATCCTTCAACCTCTCTAGCCCTCTCTCCGCCTTCGCACTCCTCGTCCACCTCGTCCCATCGCCCCTCGTTCCTCCCCCACTCATCACCAACCTCGTCCATCCTCTCGCAGACTTCGGCCATCCACCGAAAACCTGCCTCACGTTTTCTCTGGTACCAAGGTCGTACAAGCGTATGGAGCGATGTGCAGCGCGAACGGCTCGACGTTGGGCATGTGAAAGTTCATGTTCGAAGGGTGGGGAGGAGAGCTTGATGCCGCCGGGTAGTGGAGGGAGGTGACGGAGGAGGGCGAAGGCAGTGATGTTTTCGAGGGTGGTTTGGTTGGTTAGGGTTAGATAGATGTGGTAGCCTAGGAAAGCACCGATGGTGATGCCGAAGACGACGCCTATGAAGGATAGAAAAAGCATGTGTAATGGCGTGTGGGTGTCCTGTAGTGCAAGCTGTTCAGTCCGTATTTTTTGTGATAGGTTGTGAGGAAGGCTTACGAGGTTTAAGGGGTGGGCGAAAGCGTATACGAGTCCTTCGATGTTCATGCCCGCAAGGTAGATCGCGTATAGCGTTACACATAATAACAAGTGTAAGAACGAAGGATAAGTCCTATACCCAACGCACTTGGCGCCGATCCACGGACAATGATGATCTACGTCTCCCCTTCAGCATTCTCCACATCTTTAATTTACAAAAGTACGCACCCATCTTCAACACACACCTCCCACACTCCGAACAATGATGCGCTCTCTCCGGTTTCGGCGCCCAACAGATCCTACACCATCTCCCCGGCAAACTATAATCGTCTTCGGGCGGTCCACCCATAAGCGCGGCCGTGATACTCATTTCGCCCTCCCCGTCCTCTTCGGCATCTTTGGTTGCTGGTCGGGGAACGGGACCTGGGTCTCGTGCGGCGCATACGATGAGGGAGCAGAAGCATAGGAATGTGAGGGTGTAGAGGACTGTTAAATGTGCAAGGAAGAGAGGGGTGGAATGCAGAGTTAGGAGGTGGTAGTTTGTTAGGACCAAGAGGAGGGAGGGATGCGGGAGGAGGAGTAAGAGGATGGTTACTGTAGACATTATTCAGCGCCGTATACTTTCATACTTCGCGATGAGCGGTAACGTACTGCATAAGGGCACATAGCTATACCACGGCTTCTTGCTAGGTCCATGTCCATCGTCGGATTCGTCGTCGTAAGAGACGTTGTTCCGCCGCGGAGGGAGCTCTGATGAGGAGAGGCGGACGAGCGGGACGCGATTGAGAAATGAAGCCATTTTATTTCGATGGCGTGAAGAGCAGAGCGTTGTAGCAGATACAGAGCGTCGATGGCAGTACAGTGAGAGGTGCAGATGCCTACGCGGCCGACTGCGGCGGCATGGGTGTACGGAACAAGAACAAGGCGTGGGACGTGCTCAACTTATACAGATGAACTGGTAAGCTTTCTGTTGACATGGCTGATAATATATGCTGCTCCTGCTACTAGTGCAGGATTGGCATCGTAGAGCACCTAGTCAGTCGCAGTAGTATATCAAAACAATAAGCATGAGAAAGCGTTCGGAAGTGGCAAAAAGAGCTGGACAAGCAGGGGATTGAACCCTGGACTTCTCGCATGCAAAGCGAACACGCTACCACTGCGTCACTTGCCCATGCTTACTCCTTATATGTGCTAAATCTCAACCCGTCATAGCTTTACAACAACGAGCCACAATCTTCCTCGACCGCACCTCATCCACTTCACCTCCTCCTCCATGGCATCCTTCGACTCGGAACTGGACGCGCTCTTCAAGACATCGGTACGTCCCATCACTGCCATTGCTTTAATTAGCATGCACTATCTAACAATTACTATAGGCAAAGGCCGCACCCCCCGCTCCTCCCGTCCCCGGTCCATCGACCTCCAAACCCACCGACGCGCAAAAGAAACGTAAAGCCGACTCTTCGGATGACGCTCGAAAGGCTAAGAAAACAAAATCGAAATCTGTTACCGATGCCGCCGCCGACGTACCCGCGAAGGTGAAGACCTCAAAAAAGCGTGCCGCAGCGCTCAGCGACTCGGACGACTCGGACGATAACGCGGACGTCGAAGAAGCCTACGCCGCGCGCGTTAAACCTACATCACGTCCCGCTACTACTACCAGCACTGCCAAGTCTGACGCAGACTCTGACTCTGAGGACTCAGATGCGGACGCGCCGCCTCCAGTGCACGAGTCTCTGCTAAATAAGAAGGAGAAGCGGGATCGGGGCAGGAAGAAGGATAAAGTCCGATACGTTCCTCCTGGCGAGACGAGGGAACAGCGGGATTCGCGGACCGTTTTCGTGGGCAACGTGCCGGTCGAAGTCGTCAAATCCAAGGTACGTGCGCTATAATATCTACAGTCTATATACATTGAATTGGATACTGATACTTTGTGTAGTCTGGGAAGAAACAGCTCGAGCGACATGTTCTGTCCCTCGTACCCGGCGCGAAAATCGAGTCTACGCGTTTCCGTTCCGTAGCATTCGCCACGCCCACCGGTCTCACCACCGACTCTCCTGCCCCAACATCCACTGCCACCACTCCGCAAACTGCTCAGGAAAAGGCCGACACGCGCGCACACGGTAGCGCCCGCGCAGCGCACTGGCGCTCTGAACAGCCGGAAGACGCAGCGCGTAAAAAGCTCACGCCTGCCGAAAAGAAGAAGATTGCGTTTATTAGGCAGGAGGTACACGAGCAGGCGTCGGCCGTACACGCTTATATCGTATTCGCCCACTTCGATCCCTCATCTACTACTTCCACGCCATCCTCTACTCCGCACCTCGATCCATACGAAGCTGCAACCCTCGCGGTGGAGAAGGTTGATGGGACGAGTTTCATGGGAAGGACGTTACGCGTCGACGCGGTGCTTAAAGAGGCGAAAGAGAAGAGGAGCGATCCGAAACGGACGGCGTTCGTTGGGAATTTGGATTTCGCGACGAAGGATGAGGATCTGAGGGTTTACTTTGAGGGAGTCGTTAGTGCGGAACGGGGACCGCCGGGGGATGAGGGTAGTGATTCCGAGGAGGATGACGAGGAAGAAGGGGAGAAGAAGGAGGGTGGGAAGACGAGGAGTTGGGTCAGGCATGTTAGGGTTGTGAGGGATAAAGATACGCAACTCGGGAAAGGGTTCGCATACGTCGAGTTCGCGGTAAGCTCTTTTGTTTCCTATTCTCATACTATGAGTCAACTGACTTTAAACGTTCGTTTTAGGACCGTGAATGCGTCGACGAGCTTTTGGCGATGGAAGAAGGCAAGCTCAAGTTCGCCAAACGCAAGCTCCGTCTTCAACGCTGCAAGACTTTACCCGGTTCAGCACCCATCAAGAAACCCGAACCCAAATCGATAAACAAACCCGCGCCGCCCATAACCGTAGGCAAACCCACCGATGCAGGCTATAAGCCTCGTCTCTCCACCACCAAGCCCATCTCACTCGCCGATATACCCAAAGGTGATCCTCGTCTAGGCGAACGTTTGAAGGACTTGGATAAGGACGCGAGGAAAGCTGTTAAGGCTGCGGACGCGGAACGTGTTGCGAGGAGGATGGCGAAGAAGAAGGTCAGGGGGGCGTTGGGGTTGAAGGTGAAGGAGGGGGATAAGGAGGGGAAGAAGAGGGTTAGGGAACGGAAGAATGTTGTGGAGAGGAAGAGCGAGGGGAGGCATAAGCCTGTTGCTAAGAAGGGGAGGGTTAGGAGCGAGAAGAGCGTTGCGAAGAGGAACGGGAAGAAGTGAGGGGTGGAGGTGGTTCAGATGTATAGTGCTGTTGTACAGACGAAGACGATAATAATGGTTTCATTCAAGTGTTCTCGGATTGAATACCTGCGTTGTTAGGGTTTTTTGCTAGCGGGCGTGTATCGATGGCCAAGAAGCATTTGTGAAACAGTTCACATTTGTTCGATGCCCGTTCGTACTACTGGATAACTTTCCGTAGGGACTGTAGACGACGTAAAATACCCCAAACACTAGATTCATTCCCACTGGTTGGCTCAAGCAATCGTGGGAGGCGAATGAAGGTCGCAGAGTGGCTGAAGAGGCCTGCGATCAGCCCTTTCGTCAGCAAATCTGCAATTAGTATAATTTACACTGTTTAAGAATCCTGCGGAAAGTGACCCAGTACATCGTCGAGCTACAGTTTACTTGTTCCACGCCCGGCCTGGGAAAAATGGCGTCTAACACACGCGTTTGGCTTGCCTCTTACCATCACCATCCGCATGTCAATGTGCGTCGATGATCGCTTCTATCTCCTACGTGATATAAACTGACAGTTGGCTCCCTAGTGTACGTTCCTTCCGCACCATGCCGTCTCGCGAAGCAGCCGAGGATGTGGCCCCGACTCACGTCGAGCGTGACACGCGGCATGTGTTTCCCCCCATGATGCTAGAATATCAGCCCTGACCACACGAGTTCAGTACGTTCAGTGACGTTGCCGTGAAGTCTTTCATGGAGGAGCGTTATAGACAGCTCAACGTCGAGCATATCATCGGCGCCGGAACAGCCCAAGAACGTTATGAGCTTCATCGTCAGCTCACGAAGGACATCACAGACCTCAGTGAGGCCTTACTCCTCTGGAAGAGGAGTGCCACTTTATCTGCACCCGTATCCCGTCTCCCAATTGAAGTTCTCGAGAACGTCTTTCTCCACCTAGCGGTACTCGACCCGCCCATCACCCCTTTGTGTGGACGGTTCAGAGATCACTATGACACCGACGACGAAGATGCGGCCGAAGATTTCTCCGATGAACTCTCGGAACTGGCGTCCTTTGAGAACTTCCCTACCTGGCATAAGCACGACTGTGGCTCGCTGGGCTGGATCAAAGTATCGCACATTTGTCACTCGTGGAGGGACGTTGCACTTCTAAAGAAGTCTCTGTGGGCTGGCGCTGTAGGCATCCTACCTCTGGCAAATGAGGAATTCGTCCATCGTGCAGGCTCGTGTCACCTCTCAATCACAGTGCGCGAGTCTAGGCGGCGTTGTCTTGATTTGTACGACGCGTTTTCCCGCGTACCTCATTCATCCGTTAAGTCGATTTGCGCCTACTTTACGGAGCATGAGCTTTACAGCTCCATAGATCTGCTCATGGGGTACATCTATGGACAAAAAACACCTTGGGATGCTTTGGAATCTCTGGAAGTCTCTGCAAATGGAACTCCCAGAGGTTCTCAACGTTACCCGCTCATTACCCCCGCTTTAAAATATGCAAAAATGATTAACTGCACTTTACCATTCGTTGCCAGTGGTCTTCAGCGCCTCTCAATTGTCTACGATGCGGATCACCCTGGACGCAACGCGCTGCCTTTGGCTAGCTTGCTCAGTTACATTGACGGCTGCCAGAACACTCTCCAAGAGCTTGAGCTGCTTCGTTGCCTGAGCGTCTATGCCAATACACCAAAACCTCCCATCGTCGCCCCCTTTGTTGCCCTCCGCCGGTTTGAGCTCGGTGGTGACTTCGGTAACCTCCTACGCGACGTGAGGCACCACATTGGCTACCCTGCGGATTGTGACATCTCCTTCCACACTGGTGAGGGCGGGACCTTTCACTTTGCATTGCGCATGCTAGCGGACGATATCCTCGAGCAAGATATCTCATATGGGCTGGTATTAAGTGCGAGCGAGGGGCCCTATAAGGCCATCTTGGTATCTGTCTGCCAGTCGGCCACGCTCGACTCTGGCGGCGCCGAATTCTTCGTCGAACGACGTGGTACTGTGCGCAGAGTCTATTTTGATCTGCCCGAATACCATCGACACTTGCACCTCGGCGAGATCCTGGATGCAGCGAGTGAGATCTTTCAGCATTATGGAGAGGAAGCGGCTGTTAGTGCGTTTGAGGACGTCGGGACACTCTCCATCTTCGACCTGGCCGCGAAGCCAGCCCCTGTAGGAGCCTGCGACGTTGCCCGATTCTTTGCTAGAACACCCATGGTTCACACTTTGCAACTTTACGGTTCCGAAGAGGAAACACTGAAGGGTATCTGCGACGTCCACGCGAGCGACATACATGGTCACAGCGAGTCAGGAATGTTGGTTCTTCCAGAGCTCACTGTTCTCCGGCTTTCTGCTGGCGCGACGCCGCTGTTGTGCGAGAAATTTGCTGAGCTATTGGAAATGCGCGCGGAAGGGGTTGAGGGGGTGACAAAGGCCAAGAGGTTATCGAGGCTCATCGTGGACAAGGATGTCGTTATTGCGGACCCGGAGAACGAGGAGAGTGCCATCCGGCGGTTGAAGGAGATTGTAGATAAGCTGTCCTGGAGACTTCCTGAGTTTGAATAGCTCAGCTTTCGTAGACCTGTATATTATGTCACCCCCACGCATCCAAAGCATAACACTACTCGTTGTCCAAAAGGCCATTCTGTCGTTGTGATCTAAGACGGCGGGCTGGCCCGGGATGAGTTGGTGAGAAGGGTTTGAGTGTACATACTCTGATGCGATCAATATCACAGAGATTGTATCTACACAAAGCTTAACGCAGGTCTGTGAGGGTACAAAAGAAATTTAAGCCGACTGGGAAGTGGGGCAAGTCTAGGGTTAGGTAATAGGGTCAGCACTGAGCCGCGATGCGTCGATGCGTTTCAGACCCAATCCATCACCAGGCTCGCCAGTAGGCTTGATTCGCTTCACCGACCAGGCTCGTTCAGG